GCCAAAGCCCCCGCGGGCTGGGTGGCCGCGGATCCAGTGGGGGGATCCTGGCTCCAGCAAGGCAGGAAAGGGAAGTGTGGGGGGGTCGCATCGCACCCCGAGTGCCCCAAAAAGCCCCCAAAAATGCTGCGGGTCCGGGCGGAGTGGGCAGGGGGGGAAAGTCCCTTCCCTGGGGTGCGTCCTCATGGAATGGGAGATTGTTTTTAATGGGGAGAAGGTTGGACCAAGAAAGGGTCTGGTCTGGCCAGGAAGGATCCAGGGGGACAAAAGCCCCCGGCCAGCAGGGAGAAGCAGGGCCAGCCATGGCAGGGAGCGGGATATTTGTGTCCCTGTGCCGGAGGAAGGAGCCTGCGGGGGGAATGCGGCTCCATCCCAGCTGGACTTGCCCAGGGAAGGGGGGTTTGCAACTGCGCTGCCTCCCAAGGACGTTTGGGCCACCCGCCTGTCCCCATCCTCCCACCCGCCAAACCGGCCGAGCGGCCCCAGCAGCAAGACAAAAGCTGCAGGTGCGTCGCTCCCATCGCTCCCGTAGTTCCTGTCGCTCCCGTGACTCTGCAGCAGCTGCAGGAGACACCTGGGATTTTACTCCTCAAAAGGCCCAAGTGGCTCCCCACCCCCGTGCTCAACCCTCCTACTAGACACTAGAGAATCTCCGGGGTGACCCAGAGGCATGAGAAGTCCCTATCCCCCAGCTCCAGGTGCAGCTGAGCCCATCCCAATGCCCGGAGTCACAGGGCTGAGCTGGGGAGGGGGTTGGAGCCGCTGGATTGGGGAAAACACAGGAGCTTGTGGCTAATGGGAATGTCTCCTCCATGCCAACTCCAGCAAACAACCGTCGGCAGCCAAATCTCCTTCCCAAGGAGAATAACTGACACCTCCAAAACACCCCCCGACAGACCCATCCAGGTATTTCATGGAATTTTGGTTCCTCAAGTCTCACTCCCTGCTGGATTCCCTCATCCAGCTTTTCACCAGGGAGCTTTTCCCAGGCACCCAGCAATGGCCTTGGCTTTGCCACAGCTTTATCCTGCATCCTGGTGAGCTCCTTTGCTCCACTGGGATGTTTCCCCATCAGCTCTTTGCCAACAATAGGGAAAAATACCTATTTTTATAG